TATCATTACACAGAACATCACAATCACATTACCGTTCAGCAGGATCAAAATTGAGCAATTTTTCAATGAGATCATGAGTTTCATAGTTATTTTTTACTCTAGATATATCGAACCTCCCTTTAGTGATTCGACTATCTTTATCATCATATTGACCAAATGGATGATTCTCTTTAGTGATGGAGAAATACAGTAGACATCCGAAGCTAAACATGTCAACGGCACATGTTTCATTTTCCTTTAGAATAATTTTTTAGCTCTCCAACCCATGTTACTAGCATTCACATCCACCACTTCCACTGCAATTATCACAAAAAGTCTCATTTCATAAACGCGTGGCCTTCTCCAACAAAAAAAAAGGTTATTACCAGTGAGATTCTTAGAAACTTTTTTATCATTGACATTCTTAGAAACCTACTGCTCATTGACATTCTTACTCTCTCCCAAATCAGTTATCACAAAAAGTCTCATTTCATAAACGCGTGGCCTTCTCCAACAAAAAAAAAGGTTATTACCAGTGAGATTCTTAGAAACTTTTTTATCATTGACATTCTTAGAAACCTACTGCTCATTGACATTCTTACTCTCTCCCAAATCAGTTATCTTTGCGGTTAAACCACTATCTATCAGGATATTTCTTGGCTTTATGTCTCTGTGAGCCACCCCATTTTCATGTAAATGGGAAATGCCTCTAAGTATACCTCTGAAAAGCACAAAAAAACAAAGAAGTATGTGAAGAAAGTTGTTTTTAATCTAGAATGTATAATTGTAGGAGTATAAAAGTGTTTAACCTCATTAATGACATCAAGAGAGATGATGCTCGTTAGTCCAGAGTTGTCTTTCTCCAAGTAGTTTGTTTATGGAATAGTCTAGTGGTGTGTTAGGGAAATCTGCGTTCTTGGCCATTGATACTTCTTTTATCGTGCAGAATTCGGTCATTTGTTCCAAATTGCAAATGCAAAGTTCCAAACAAATGTAGAGATTTGTGCCCTCGGTCTCCCTACCATAACACCGAATAATGTTTTTGTGTTTGTCAAATGTCATGTATCTCTTGTACTCTCGCTCTCCATTAGGCTCAAATGCAATGCACTTCACAGCCACCACTCCACGATCTCGATAAGAAGATAAACGGATCTTGGAGCCTTTGGTGACCTCTCCAATGATATCCTTCTCTAAAAAACACAAGCCACCAATATATCTTTTCCCATCTTCATTAAAAACATGGGGCAATTTGATTTTGGATATCTCTTCTCGGAGTAATTTAATAGTATATTTCATATCTTTTATTATTCCATTTGCCTATGTAACCAAAAGAAAAAATTAGAGGCTGCTAAAATTAAACAACCATATAATGGAAATATAATGAAAAGTAAACAAGTATATACCCAATCCCCTTCATCTTTCGTTTCATCCAATTGTTGTTTCAGGTCATGGTTTTCACGTAGAATTAATTTCAAGTAGAAGAATGGATTTTTAGATCAGAAGAAAACCCAAACGCAAACTGAAAAGTATTGTATTGTCATAACCAGAGTTAAAATATATATTATCCTTTGGATATACCATCAGTCTCATCCTGACCACATTGAAGATCTTCTTATTGGCTGCTTGGAATGTTCAGAACAGTCATGTTCAATAAAACCATCAACATTTATCTTCTCAAAACCATTCTATCATAAGCAAATAAAGAAAAATCACATATCAAATGCTGAAAATTTGAAACCATATCCTGATTTCGAAACCTAAACTCTAAAATCATATTGTTTTTACCCTTAAAAATCAAACCAATTTTTCTAGATATACTCACGATTTCATCAAACAAATTGAAACCCATAATTTATCGATTTCATACCCAATTCGCTAATCCATAGAATCTTAGACACAAAACATAAATCACATAAATTATAATTCGAATAGAAACATTTAAACAATATTTGTCCCCATTTCGAGTCCAACGCACTTGTTTCTAATATTTTCTTCGCCCCTTCCTTTGAATCGGTCTCATTCTCTTCACTGCGAGTTTTGTGTGTTTGAGAAATGCAAAACCTTAAATCCTCAAATCGATTCAGGGTTTTGTATTTTGTTTTATTTCGTGTTTTGCTAAATTAACATGTGTTACATTTAGAGAAAAAAAAATAGCATACGTTTTAATTTCAAGAACGGTGATAGATTATTCCATAACAGAGTTAGCTGTTTTGTTAAATTTTTTTGTCAGCGAAAACACGAAAAGTATTTTTGGGGGTTCAAACTTTAAAGTATCAGTTTTCTTTGTTTAGAGGTTTATAATAAGAGTGAAATTCCACCAAAAAAATGTTACTGAATCTTATATATTGAAGGTTGAAAAAAACGATATTCGCTTCAAATATATGACAAATTGAAACGAATATGAAATATTTTATCGTCCCTTATTAGCTCAATCAGTTAAGTATACTCTTTGCTCACTAAGTTCCATTTTCGCATGTGTTGTTTGTACTTAGTACAACACACCTCGAGATCCACCTTGTTCAATTCCCATAACATAAATCAAAAGATTAGTTGTGTTTTATTTCAGTTTAGTCCTCTGTTCCTTGACAGTTCCAAGTTCCTTAAAACCAAACCTAATTTAACGAACGAGCTCGATCCCAAAGCCACAAACCACCACGACAAGAACCCGAATCGAATGTCATTGCAACACAATGTCCATACACTCGTTTGCAGAGCAATTAGACAAGAAAGATGCAAAGACAAAAACTTTCGCTCTTGTTTCAATGGATCTGCACATCAAAGTCTATAATCTTTTCTCTACCATGAACTCGACTTAACATGGAAACCCAACAGTTGATGATTTGAACAAACAAAGCTGAAGATCAAACATAAATCCTCATATCATTTCAAAGCTCCCAAAATTCCCCAACACAACAATCATACTAAGAAACGAACAAGACGATAATCTCATGTAGAACAAACCAAATTCAAGCTCAAAGAGAAACGATTCGATGCAAAACATGAAGCCAAGTTCAAGCACCAACGAACACAACTAAAACATTTTCTGGACTCAATATCAAAAAGGAACCATTTTTCAGATATATAAATCAATCACATTCCTTCTTGATCAGAGAAGC